TCCAGAGGTCCTGACTTCAATTCCCAGCAACCACATGGTGGCTCACAACCATCTATAATGAGATCTGACGCCCTCTTCCGGTGTGCAAGTGTACATGCAGATAGAACACTGTACAGATAAAAAATAAATCTTAAAAAAAATAGTGAAATTTAGGCAAGACCAGAAAATTGATAATCATTTGACCACAAGCCACCTGGAGATAATGGCAAATGGATACTTTGTAGGGCCTGACTTTGTTCTTTCTCTGACTTCACTTTTTGGAACCCTTGAGATCTTGATTCTTGAGGAATGACTAGCTCAGCTTACCCCAGGGCAGCTGGCGGCATTAAACACCTTCCACAGAAAGGAAGAGGGGTTTGTTCGTTTCCCTCTCTTCTGGTAGGATGAGTGCCTCAGACATAGGGCACCGGGCATGCCAGTGATGCAAACAGGTGGTTGGATGAGTCTGCACTGCATTATGGGTATTTTGCTCCGACTTTCTGAAAGAGCTGCATGCTTCTAGGGGGTCAAACCAAAAAGTAAATGAGACCATCCAAGCTAAGCAGTTTGAAAACCACACAAGTCAATGGCATAAGGGAAGCTGGTGGTGTAACAGATGGTCTCACGATTTAGGTCATAGGACTTAACCATGGAGAAAGACTATTTGTGGATAGCAACATAAGAAGTTCAAACTGCATATGTCAATATTGTCTCGCTCTGGTGAATTCCATTCACAAAATCAAAATATGTTCATGTAGTGAAGAGAAATACTAGAAACCGTTCCTGAAATTTTTCAAATGGTACACACTTAACTATCTGAAGCTTACAGACTTCCAGCTTCAATTCAGGATGCCTGTTTGTAAAAATGATGAATAGTGTCCACATAAGTCCATGTTTAAAAACTAGGAACAAAAAAACTGACGGGATCTCGAAGTTACAAACATCTCAGATGAAGCTAGAAGAGATGAGAAATCAAATCATTGGACAGAAGTTGGGATGAAGTTCTGAAAAGTATCAGAAGGAGAGTAACTTGAAATGGTCACCAAATAGAAGAGGACCTAGATTTCTGTGTCTATCTCTGTGTGTTTGTGTGTGTCCCTGTGTTTCTCTCTGGGTGTGCTTGTGTGCACACACAACACACACACATGTGCCTGAGTGTGTGAATCTGATTTGTGTACAGGGCATGTCCCTGGGATGATGCCTCTAGAAGAACATAAACTTCAGTGTGTATCAAGATCAATCCTGGCAACGAGAGCACAAAGATCAGCTGGTTGTCTCATCCTTGCCCTGTCTTACGAACTAGGAGTTGGCTGAATCTTCAGAACAAAGTTTCCAAATGCTCATCTGTTTATTCTTCTATTCAATAAATACTTCCAACTGGCTGCTAGGTGGAAGAGTGCTTTGGGTGACAAGAGAGAAGAGGACAGATTAGCCCCATCCCTAGTTCTGAATGATCTGTGTCAGGAGGCCAGCCTCCGCTCCAGAGAACAATAGCACAAAACATTGATTTCAGCAAGGGAGTCTAGATCACTTTTTCTTTGTCAATAAATTTAAATGTGTGTGTGTACAATAATCAATGCTATGGGGCTTGCAAACCTTTATCAAGTAAACACTTGACTCTGTTCTTTGACACTATCATCTCTGGACAGCTGAGCTAGGCTGGTATTCTGATGTCTCAGATTTAAAAAGATGACATTTCCAGCTTTTCATACACAAAGGTGGAAACCGTGAGTCTCAACCTCTGTGGAAAATGAAACAACTTTTAGGAAAGAAAGAAAACAAACAAACAAAACAGAAAATTGTCTGCCTTGCAAGGGTAGTGGAAGCTTTAAGGCAATTCAGAGGCCAGAAACAGCAGAGGGATTCAGCAGAGCTTATAAATACAAAGGCTGAGGTTTTATATGGAGCTAAAAATAAGACAGGGTATACAAACATTAAGCCCAAACAACCTCTAGTGTCTTTGAGAAAAGTAGTACATATCTTTACTACATGCCTTTCTCAAATATGTATACACACTAGATGTCATATAACATTTTACTTCTCTTAGTCAATTGACATCTACTTGAAATATGACTGTCTTGACATTTCAACGAGATGGTCTATTGAATACTTCAGTGTATACTCATGAAGGTTTGCTCTTCCCTCCGACATACCTATTGCCTCTCCCTTTAAGCTAACGTATCCATGCTAGAAGTTCTGTATTTCAACATTTACCAGCTGATATTTTCAGTAAAACTCCTTAGATATTTCAACCACTAAAATCTTTATAGGCATAAATGTATATTCCAAAGGAAGGCCTTTAGAAACAAATGAATTGCTGGTGTAAAAGCTTTGTACCGATAAGGCATTAATATGTGTTGATTCGGTCTAAACGTTTTTTTTTTTTTTTTTTTCCTTCTATCTTATTAAGTGTCTGGGCTTTTTGCTGCTTTATGGTTATAAATTTATGATGTGAAAAAAATAAAGCAGCAGAGAGCAGATAAAAAATAGGGGTTGAACTAAAAATAAGGCCCACCCTCAATGATCTAGAGAAGCCCGCTCTTCTGAAGGCTCCACATCCTTCCAAAAGCAGGGCCATCCACTGGGCACTGAAGCCTTGGGGGGACATTTCATAGCTGAATACCAGCAATTCCTCCCTCTTTCTCTCACATACATTTACACACACACACACTTCACTCACTCACTCACAAAAGCCTCCCTCTGAGAGTGTCATACTAGAGAACTGGAGAAAGAGATGAGAATAATAATTGTGAATAATTGGAGAATGATGCCATGCAAAGTTGAAGAACTTAGCAGAGACTCTATGGGATATGTGGCTGTATTACTCATTGACAGTAAGGCTTTGAGCAAGATTTTCTCTTTTTATTTTACTTTTTTATTTTGAAGGGAATAATACATAATTTATTTGTACAATAAAGAGTATTAATTGTATTTATTAAAGGAAAGAAACTCATACTTTTCTCTACATGGGTGTAGTTTGTGTACATCTACACAAATGTATTATTCATTCCTCTTCCATCCTCATGACCTTCATCACGCTCCTCTCTAGTAACATTTACACTATGTTTAAGGTGATTGATAATTGCTTTTACATTTGAGAGGACACATGGTATTCGCCTTTCTATGTCTGGCCTATTTCACTTACTACAATGTCCATGGGTTTCACCGATTTCTCCACAAACAAGGGAGGTTAATCCTTTACTGTCAGGTAACGTTCCCCTGTTCACTGTAGATCATACCATCATCACCTACTTGTCTCCGGACAGCAACCTAGGTTGACTCCATCTCTTAGTTATTGTAAATAAGGGATTAATGGTCATGCAGGTTCCTCCTTAGTATCAAAACTTCATTTCCTGTGAATTTATACAGGAGTTGGGTAGATGTATCATAGGTTAATCCTAATTTTAGTTTCCCGAGAATCTTTCACAATGTTTTCCAAAGAGACTACACCAGTTCACGTCAGAACCATCCAACTTCCTGTTCAACAGATGCCTATGACAAATTCTTGGTTCTATGTAAAGAAAACCACAAAAAAATGTTTTTTTTTTTCTTTGATTTTTCTTGGTAAGCCTTTGAACGTGGAGCAAGTGGGAAGATCCAGTTCAATCTTCATCTCCAAGGGATCATCCCTATTCCCCCCACCACATAACTTAACAGGAAACTTCAATCTAGCCAGTGATTCCAAAGGGACAGTTTTATCTACAGAGCCTCCACACCTGCACCAAATGTTTTATTTAATATAATAGTTTGGATTGTTCAACTAACATGTCTGTACTGTAAAAATGTATAGGGAGGCCCTAGGAAGTAGCTTAGTAAGTAAAGCACTTTCCATACCAGCAGGGTGGCCAGAATCCACCAGAAAAGCTACCTGTGAATATGTGTTTGTAATCTCAGTGCTGGCCAAGCAGGGCCAAGAGGACCATTACAGCATGCTTGTATCCTGACAGGGCCTGGGTTTACAGAGACATGCTGTTTTAGAAAATAAGATGGATAGTTCCTAAGGAATTACACCCGAGATTATGCGCTGGACTCCACACATTTGTAGACACACACACACGCACAGAAAACATAACAGAAAACAACTTCCAAAATACATCTGATACCTGAAACCTTTGCCATATTTAAAACAATGAGTCTTGGGCTGAAGAGGTGGCTTAACAGTTAAAAACTGCAGAGAACCCAAGTGTGGCTCCTTGTACGCACATGGCAGCTTAGAACCCTCTGTAAATCCAGTTCCAGGGTGTCCAGTGGCCTCTTCTGGCCTTTGAAGACACTAAATATGCACATGCTCAGACATACATGAAGGCAAAAACCATATACACATAAAATAAAAATACATAAATGTTAACAAAAGTGTCCTACTCTGGAATGTATTTGTTATACAATTTCTTAGGCAAATCAAAGAAAAACAGAATGCACTTAGTTGGAAAATGTAAACTCAGATAAAGGTGTGCCGCCCTCACCTGAAGCACAGATGTGCAAATATTGAGACCACAGATAAAATACACACCGTGAAACCTAAGAAGATGCTGCAAAATGAGTAAGTTGCAAAATCATGGAGTTCAAATATACCTAACTTAAATTTCCATATCCCTTGGTTCCTGGTGCTTCCCATAGGCACCTTGTACAGAAACCTCATTCTGTACAAGAAACAGAAACCTCATTCAAGAAACCTGGTCGTTTCCTTTCCTGTGAGAAACAGGACAGCCATGATGGAGTCCTGCATTTTTCCTTGGGATCATAGATACACGCTGCCGATTCCAAATATTTATGAGGGCACCAAAGATTAGAACTCAGGTCCTCAAGGGAATTCTATAAAATACCTGTGATACAAGAGAATCCAGATGCTCTTCAGTAGCTTAGTAATGATATGGTGCAAACTGTTAGAAGAACAGGTCAGACATGCGGGGATATGGCCCCGCTCCTGTGGGAACGGCACACTGTACACTCACATTCTCCAGTGCATTCTAGGAAGTACGAAAGCGCTGCTGAAAGAGCAAGCAGGTAAGCTGCTCACTTACTTTTCAGGGGTGAAACATTCCCCAGGTACTGCAGCTCCAGTTCTTCAGCCCGCTCCGTCTTTGGCGCGCTCCGCTCCCTCTCCCAGATGCTGCGCTCTGCCACTGGATGCGGTTGACTACTGACAGGCGTGCTTCTCAGACTCTTCAGGTGCTGTTGAACTTCAGCCAAGAGGACTGCTTGTATGGCTTCGGTTACCTGGGGCAGTTTTTGTTTTCATGAGTTACATGATATCAGTAGTCCAAACTATTAGGAATCTTGTAAAAGAGAACATCCAAAGCCCAGAATTTTGCTTTGCTTTGAGTTTTTCCATGAATAATATCATCCTGCTGTGCTAAGATTAACATCGAATGTCTTTCTTTATGAGTAGCCATTAATGAATGATTAGACTCAAAGCTGCCCAAGCTGCGGATGCGGAACCAGCCCTAAAGAAGTTGGTTATACCACCCCCTCTAGTGCTCAGGGAACATTGTAAAAGAGCAAGAGGGGCATATATAGGAGCCAACAGATAGGGTGAAGGGCTAGAGAGTGCCAGTCCCCCGAGCAAAAACAGCTCTCAACTACAGTTACCTACACTGGGCTCACACCACGCCTAACCAATTAACATTCAGCCAAGGGCTTCGTCTTTCACCTCCAAACTATTAGCTATCGGTAGGTTCTGAAAGGGGAGCATCGTTGTCTTTTGCTTTGTGCCCACAGCTCAGCCGAACAGGCTCCACACCCTCAGTCACACAGACAAACATGAGAGACAGAGAGAGAGACAGAGAGACAAAGAGAGAGAGAGAGAGAGAGCTGTGAGGAGGAGGTAGGATGGACAAAGGTGATTTGGAGGATGGAAGTAAAAATGGTCATATTCATGTGCAAGATTCTGAAAGGGCACTTCAGAAGGGTTTCTAATTACTCTGTCTAAAAATGATGCTGTTTTTATTTTTCTCAGGTGGTGCAGAAAACTTGTGCAGCTACCAGCAACCATCAGGCACCCAAAGAAGTTAAAAGAGAGATGTGAACAAGACATCATACAAAAATGGTCTCCAAATCAGCCAGTTCCATGTAAGGAAATCACCCCAAAAGAGGCCAACTCAAGTCACAGCACAAATAATAGCTAATTCTGCTTCAAAGAGAATTCCCGTCAGACAAGGGGTTACTTCTTCTAGGATGAGCCCACCTCCCCCTACCACTCTCCTCTGCTCCCACCTTCCTGCATCGTTATGAGACATCACTGTAGTTACCCAGATCCCTGTCTCTGCGTTAAGCTCAGTGAAGGGAATGCTCTAGAAAGCCATCCCGCAGGCTAAGAATAACTGCCTGCTTGCATTCCCAGGGAAGAGGGGGACTCGACGAACCGTAGTAGCAGGAATCCCCTCAGATAACACGAGGCATGTGGATGATGTCATACCTGTACAGATTGATCTCTCCAGCAGGAGATCAGTTTCAAAAGCGAGAGGTCAGCCTCAGGTGTGTGACACTCACTCCTACCTAGAAATGCAGAGAACGCATCTTATTAATGCAACCCATGCTCAGTCCCTGATGCTATCTGCACATTAGTACCACCCGGGGAAGCTTGTTTCACAAGCACCAGTGCTCAGGTTCAACCTTTCAGGGAGTGTGATTTAGCAGGTCCGAGGCTGGGAACCCGCAGCCAGTAACACTGTGAGATCTCAGATGATGTTCGGGTACAGCCAGAACAGTCAGACAGACACAGATGCTTGTCTAATCACATTTATTTATATACTTAATTCACCTTTCCACCTCTTTGCCAAACTTAGACAAAAAGCACCAGATTTTTCTGTGTCTGACCTCCTCCTACAAAGAGCTCAGGCTCGCCATGAGTCGGTACCCATTGTAGGTAAAACCAGACTCTGTATTGGTTTGTTCCCTACCCAGCCACTCATCTCTTACCAATAGGAAAATTCCCAATGCTTCACGCTGTCTGTGAGACATCGTTTCTTCTAAGACTGTCCTCTTCTATACCCATTCTATCTTTGCCTTCAGTCCATCAGGAAGTTCTAACTGTGAAAAGGGCTTGTTCTATTTAAATTGATCCAATACAGGGACCAGCAGTTGACCACACAACAGAGCAATTAATAAAAAAATAAAAGCACCTTTTCATTAATTGAAAAAAATATATATATAATCATCTAAATGAAAAAAAAAAATCAATCACTTAAGGCTCTCTGGTTGGTGAAGGCATCACGCAGATCTCGGGTTCTAAAGGAACATAGGGAATCATGATGGGGGCTTCCCCTGTTGGGAATACTGCAACTAAAGCTGTCTATTAGAATTAAGGTGTTAATTCACATGTCTGAAATTCTGGTAATAACTATTGAGATTTGTGTTTACCCGTTATATTTTCTATAGACACAGTTTCATACATACTATGTTGTACAGGTTTACTTCATTAAATCATATTAGTGGTCAAAGAATGGTGGTGGAATAAACATACCAGGTATAAAGCAAATTAAGAACATAGAAGTTGATAATAAATGCTTGCCTATCGCTATGACTTATTTTCTAAAGGAGTGTGCGATATGAATTTGAAACAGCCAGCCATGCTACACAAGACCTGTGCTCCAGAACGGTCTCATTCTGAACACACTTCCCACTTCTCCACAAGTGCCGAAGAGGAGATTTTCTTTTGATCTCTCTCCCCTCTTCCTCTCTCATCTTGCTGACCTTGTGACTCACCTTCAAAGCTAAGTCTTGGTCTCAACTGTAACTACTTACTGGCATCGTGGGGCACTTCACAGTGTGCTTTAATGCGATGTTAAAATTTTAATATGATAGAGAGACCAGAGCCAACTTTTCTTGGCAGTGTCAGGGAGTCATAGAATTAATTGCAACTTCAGGGGTAAAGATGAAAAGAAAACATCCCAGCCTTGTCAGCATTACTCAGTCACCATTTCTGCTAACAGGAGTGGGCACGGGTTCCTGTCAAGCTTTGAAAAAAAAAGACATCGCTGGTGTTATTTCACTTTCTAGGGTTTAGCTTTAAAAATCAATTGCCAAGAAGTAAGTCTTTTCCTGTACCTCTCCACTCATCTCTCTATCTATTACGAAAAAAGTCTTCATTTGTCTCTATTTCAACTTTTTGGGGGCAGGGATGTGCATATGTGTACCTATGTGGGTCTGAGTTGGACATCCAGTGTCTTCCTCAATTGTTCTCCACTGTAGCTTTTGAGACAGGGCCTCCCACTGAAAGTGGGGCTCACTGGCTGGCTGGGTAGTAAGCTTCACAGGTCCCCTTGTGTCCCTTTTGCCAGCACTTGGTTTACAAGCATGTGCCACCATCCCTGACTTCATGTGGGTGCTGCGGATTTGAACTCAGGTCCTTATAATTGCACAGCAAGCATTTACCTACCCAATCATCTCCCTGGCTCTCTAGTTTGATGTCAATGGCTGCAAATGGAACCTAAACACTAACATGACACAACAGTAACACTAGTTCTCAAGGCTGTTGAGTTGCAGACCCACAGGGGGAAACAAAAGCATCCTTGGATCCGGTAAGTTGTGTCATCTTTACGGAAATGTGTACATTAAGCCCTAAATTCAAATCCTTTTCCTAGTCCTACAGAAAATTTGAACTGAGGAAGTAGCTCTATTAAGAACTTTGATATATGAAGAAGAAGACAAGGAACCAGTCTTGGTCTACCTAGAAGGGATACTATCAACGTCACAAAAATGAAGACTGATTTGATGAAGACAGAAGGACGGGGAGAGGGAAAGAGTCAGATCTACATGCCACTGCTGTTTCTCTGGTTATTAGCAGTTTGACTATCATTAACCCATCTAATTTTCAGGAGCGCTGTTTTGTCCCCAGAGGGGAAAAAAACAGAACCTTCTTATACTTTTAATGCAAAGTGTTTTTTATATATCAAGTGGGACTTCATATGCAAACCATTAACAGAATTCTTGAAACACACCAGGACAGCATAATTGAATTGAACATTATTAGTAAACTTTCCTAGAAAGAAATGTAAATGTTCTTTCTGAGTGGTCTAGTAGGCCACTGTGTACCACAGGTCAGGCATGCTTAGCCTCAGAGGCAGCTCATGCATTGGGCCAGGAAACTTATTCTCATTTTAAATAGGGATTTAATAAAAGTGAAAGACAGTCTCAAGGGTGTATCCAGAGTGATCTTCAGAGCTGGACCTTAATCTCAACTCACCTGTTTTATTTCATATCTTCAAACATTGTTCTAGCCAGTGTGTATCTTTTACGCTTACTCACTTATTGATTTCGTTATATACTAATCCAGAACAATTGCACAACTCTTTCTAGGCGCTAAATACAATAATGAATGAGACTGTCATAGAAATGGAAAACATCATTATTAGCAGGAAAAAAAAAACCTGGAGAATGGTACAATGGGGGAAGAGATGGGATGTTGTAGAGAGAAGGTGAGGCATTTGAAGAAGACCTGGAGGATGAAGATGATCAAAGGATAGGAGGCAGGGCCCTATGGACACCAGAGGAAGGAACAAACCAGGAAAAGGCAGAGCCAATGCTGAGGTCTTGAGACCTTCGTGGCATGTTGCTTAAGGATAAAGAGGCAAAAGTAGGTGCTACTTCATTCTGCCAGGGCATGATGTGTGGGTAGAGCAATTTAGGAAGGGCCTTGGGATTATGGGAGTGATGTAGCTCGAGTCTCAAGTGAAAAAGAAGCCAGTGGAAGGTTTTGGGAGAGACAGAGAGAAAGAGAGTGATAGACAGAGAGACAGTCACAGAGAGAGATAGAAACAGAGAGAGGAAGAAGAGCTCCCACTTGGAAAGAGTGTAAGGGGGAAGGGCAGGAGTAGGGGGCGCTTAGGGAGCCACTGTATCCATCCTGGTAACAAGCACATCAGAGCAGAGGTTCACACTTGGGGTGTGGCCATGGGTAGGTAGAAGCATCAGACTCTGGGTGACTGAAAGAAGACAAAGTAGGACAATGGCACCGATGTTCTGGCCTGAGAAACAAGACTGAGAAAAAGGTCCCTGGTATGCTAAGACCTGGAGAGGCAAATTTGGCATCAAAATATAATCTAAAGGCAGAGACGATTACTCAGAAGAATTTGAGATTGTTATGCAGATAAAAATAACCTCCTGAAATAGCCAGAGAACTCTCTGATAGTAGCTTTTGGGAAGGGGGCGTGGTTATTAAAAGCTATGGATGCAATGAATCTTCCAATAAGTTACACAGGACTTTACTGTGCAACATTTCATCTGCCGGGAACTCTCAGATGCTTGGAAGTCTAGAGACCCATGGATGCAGTCTATGCATTTTACAGTGCTACTCGTTGGCATCCAGTTACGGAACTGTCATTTTATCTAACAGTGAGAAATACACCAGAACACATCTGAACCATTGGCGACTCTTACCATTTCTTAGGTGTCCGTAGAAACTTGATGTATTCAAAATATCACTTCCGGGGAATTTTCCTTTGTTGTGCACAGACTCCATTTTGAAGGGTCTGTTGGGAGAAAAAAGTTTCAAGGGGTGTTACTTTAAATTTATAGTAAAACTCTTTGAGAAATAAAACTGATGACACAGGCTCAAAACTATGTTAGCAAGTTGGGGATTGAACACAAATTATTTTCAGCATTACCTTCTACACGCAATTTCTCTACTTTATCTACATTCTCAAATGAACTTCAAATATTAGCTCATGAGAATGAACTGTGCCTACTCCCCCCTTTACTGGAGAGGTCTTGTTCCCGTAGAGCAAGGTATCTGAATGCTATGACTGGTTTAAGAATACCAATGTTGACATCCACGAGGGAACTCTCCCAGCATGTCCTCAGGTTCTGTGCCAGGCCATTATTCCTGTCACTGCCAGGGATGCTGCCACAGGCTGTTTCTTCAAATTCAGTGCAGTTATACACACTGCTGGTAAACACACAGGGGTTTCTCAGCCTGCACCACTATAATAGAGTATTGGCAAGATAGATAGATTTGTTGGAAGGACTTGATATGACATATCCAGTAACACATTATTTTGATTTCTCAAAAACAAACAAACAAACAAACAAAAAAACCATACTACCTTGGCCCCCATAGATCAAATTCAGAGAGCTGACTTAGAAAAGTTCTCATTCTGACACCTCCATTCCAGAGTTTGTCCAAATGAATGGTTGGTGTTTCTCTTTGCTTTGCTTGGTTGGCTTTGGTTTGAGACAAGGTCTCACTACGTATCCCTGGCTGCCCTAGAACCTCCCATATAGACCAAAGATCAGCCTGCCTTTACCTTTGCCCCAAGTAGAGTATTAGGATTAAAGGCCTGTACCACCACACCCAGTATTTTAATGGACAATTTTCTGAAGCATGGATAGATTTCTGGTGACTTTTTACGGCACTTTAATGATAAACATACTGAAAGCACACAGACTCCTCCCAAAGGACGTCAAACAGCTTTTCCATCCCAGATGTATTAAAAACAAACTTCTACCCTACACCGACTTGGGCGATTGTTGGTAGCCCAAGTCTGAGAAGACTTCTTGGCATTGATCATTTCCCAGCTCACGTTGTAAATGAGGGAAAGAAAGTCTAGGCAACACACAGTCTGACAGCACACAGGAGTGCCATGGTGAACGCTAGGCCCGCTCCTAAGTTTTCAGGCTCAAGACTGACAACCTACTTTAAGCATACTTGTTGTTGTATAAATGTTTAGTAAGAGAAAGAAAAAAAGGTTGCTCTTAAGTCTATCTTAATTTTGTTAAGTATGCAGGGCTGGGTGGGACTTGGGTGTTCAAGATGAACAAAGGAATGTAGAGTCAGAAACTTCCCGAGTCTCCACTGTCTCTGCGTTAATGCCAGGAAAGTGGACATTAAAAGCTTGGAACGTGGCAGCATTGTGGTAGGAAGCTTAGGAGATCTGTCTGGACTCCGACAGACTGGCAGCACTCAGGGGGCAGGAGCTCCATCACACAGCATGTGGGACAGACACTTGCTGATCTGAACTCTCATCAAACAGATTGCAGAGACCTCCCACTCTGCAGTGAGCAGGCTGAATCCTACCCTTGAGCAGCAGCGTGGACTTGTCCTATGCTGGTGAATCTCACCCCCTCACCCTCCACCACTCACATCACATACGTTCCTCCTTGTCCACTTCCTTTATGCCAGTGGTCCTTACTAGTTTGATGTGTAGAGTTTGTATTATTTGAATGAACCCCTGCCTTAAACAAAAACCTTTATTCTCTATCTTCTAGAGGCCATATGCTGTGGACACACTTTAATAAGCATTTGGTAAACTGAATTCGATTTAATAATATCAGAATGAAAAAAACACGTAATCATGTATGTGAAGGGACAACATGGCAACTGCTGAGTATTAAACGACAGCTGCCACCTCTTACTAGGGAGCTGTGCCTCCCCTATAACCGACAATTGCCCCACCCCGATCTCAATACGCCAAGCACAAGTTGAGGTAGGAGTTAAGATATGAAATTTCCAGCCATCATAAACACCTGTTTAAGAATTCTTGGTTCAGATCTAATTGACATCCTGTTAAATGAACCATAAGATATGTACATATGTGTTTGTAAGTACATATGTATGTATGCATACGGCAATCCATCTAGGCTTTCACTGCACGTCTAACCCTATGATTTTTCTAGCACATGTGAATACAATGGATATCTGTTGAGTGAAGCAATGCTATTTCTAATTTTATTTTTGTGTTTATGTGTATATTCACATGTGTGTATGTGTGTGCATACACATGTAGAGGCAATAGGTCAGTGTTGAGTGTCTTTCTTGGCCTTATATTTTGAGACAGGGCCTCTCACTGACCCCAGAGAGTCATTGCTCGTGCCAGTTCCAGAGATCTGCCTCTCTCTCTGTATCCCCAAGGCTGGGGTTAGAGGCACCCACTGCCATACCCAGCTTTCATGTGAGTGCTGGAGACTCAATTTCAGGTCTTCATCTTCGCATGGCATCGAGACATCTCCCTAACCTAAATGAATTACTATTAAAACATATAGACATATAATTAACCTTCAACCCAAAGAATTAATAGAAAAATTTGTTTTCTGAATGAGTTCTGGATTTAAAAAGTTGTTGCATCTCCAACACTGTGTCCCAGCAGAAGGAAGGAAAATGATAGCTAAACACAGAGAGGGATCATAACAGACTTGATGTCTGCATTAGAATCATCTGTGTCTCTACCGCCTCTTACCTGTCGATTTCACAGGCCAGATCCAAAGGCATGTTAACTAACTTATTAACTAAAAACAGCCTGCTCAGTAAGTACACTATAGTATCTGATTGTTGCAAGGCATCACAGTGATTCTCCGGGCCTCTGGGAATTCCCGTCTGGTGCGGAAGAGCGGCTGTGTATTTATTTGACAAGTCCAAAACTTTCCTGGAACACAGATTTACTCCTGAGTACTCCTTCATTTCAGTACCACAAGCATCCCACCCAGGCAGCATCAGGGAGAAGAGGTCTTTGTTTAAAGCAAGTCCCAAAGACACAGGGCCCTGCAGCTTTAAGATGCTGAGATGCTTGGTACAGAGGCTGTCTAACTCTTTATCCACTCCCCACGGCAAAATGCAAGACAGAAACAATTTCGCCATGTCTATTGTGAGGCTAGCATCGACCTTCCTGGATAGCTTAGGGCATGTCTTTTTGGAGCTCTTCATTTTCCTCTGTCTTTTAATACCATCACTCTCCTCTGGGAATTTACTGGTGCTGTCCCCAGGGGCCAGGCTGTCCCCACTGGGCTTGGCTTGTGCCTCTGCCTGAAGAGAAGTACATGACGCTTTGTTTCTTCTTAATGTCAGTGTCTTCTTCTCTACTGTGCTCTTGGCTCTCCTCAAGATGTCACTTCCATAGAATGAGCCGGAAGGATCAACATCACTTAGGGGAGTGGGCAGCAGTAGTTCAACAAGATTTTCCAGATCAAACAGGAGAACATGGAAGCCAATGTGACTCCATTTTGTTTTCACAGGCAAGACATTAAAAGGTCTTGGGACTGATGAGGCATCAGCAACCTGAGGGGAAAGATATGAGCATATCAGAGTTCATCATATGTATTAATGTTCTATGACATAATTGTGGCAGAAAAAGAAATATTCAGTTATAGTTAAAGGCAAGAAGTATTAAGTTCTGCAAAAAAAAAAAATAACAACTAATAAAGCTGTGACAACTGATCTTGTTTCAGTTAGGAAACTCTCTTTCTAAATTGAACATTGTAGATTCTAACATCCATATAAACTTTCTTTCCTCAAATATTTTCCCTAAGTAAATTAGAACTAGACTTCTGGAGAACAACAGCACTAGATTAGAGTCCTTTAAAAAGAAATCATTTTATTTGTGTGTGTGAGCATATGTCCGTGTGTAAGCTCACACAACATGCATGCACACAACCTAAAGTTGAATAGGGAACCAGATCCCCTAGATCTGGAACTATAGTCTGTTGTGAGCCAACCATATGGTTACTGGGAACTGAACTCTGATCCTTTTCAAGAGTAATACATGCTGTTAACATGCTGAGACATCTCTCCAGCCCTATCTATCTCTCTACCATCTATCTATCTATCTATCTATCTATCTATCTATCTATCTATCTATC